GGCCTCCTCCCCCAGTCTGTTCCTGTCCTCCTTGGGCACTGACACCTCAGAGATGTCTGCACGCGGCTCCACGCACCGGGGAACGCACCGGGGGCCGCACCGGGGACTCGGGCTCGGCGCGTCACGGTGCTCAAAGCCAGTCCCCTCGCAAACGTACACCTGTCCAGGCGCACACGCCAGGTGGACCCAACCTGGACACACACGAGCAGTATCGTGCCCTATTTTCTCTCACACAGGAATGCACCCACTGAACACGCAACAAATATCCAGAGACCCCGGGGCCGCCGACTCCTCCGCGAACAGATAGATGCACGTTTAGTCCGCCAACGAGATGAGCAGGTCTCTGCATTGGGGACCCGGGGCTCTGGAGAGAAGAGCAGATAGGTGATAAGCAAACAAGACACACCAAGCACTGTGAGGCGGCACAGCTGGCAGGTGGAAGGAGGTGTGTTCGGACTCAGAAGGGAAGAAGCCGGGAGAGAGCTGCACCCCAGGCAGGGACACTGGCACCTGCACACCCTCAAAGGCTGAAATCATGTAGACATGTCTAACCCCCCCAAAAAAAAAGAGTGGCGTTCCAGAAGCTCAGAAAGTGAGAAGAACGACTTAGGAAGGAAGTGGCCAACAGCACAACATCCAGGGCCCAGCAAATGTCTTCATCTTGCAGCAGGTTGTGTCTGCAGAGAGCTGTGGGTGATGGTGTGGGGTGCAAAGTAGGGGCCCTGCTGCACACACTGGGGCAGGGTGGCTGCTGAACAGTGCAGGGAGGGACATTCTTTGTCCAAAGAGAGAAGGCATTCAGTTTGCTCTGTTGCAGGGATGGAACCCAAAAGACAGGGACAGAATCCAGAAGGCTGATGGTGAGGTGAGGTGCTCTGCAGAGGGGGGCTGGCTCCTCAGGAAGAGCACTAACCACTCCAGCCCGTCACTGGGTGAAAGGGGGAGGGGCTGACCACAGCATCTAGAAGTTGCTAGGGCAGTGCAGGAGGCAGGCCTTTTGGAAGCTCACATCTGGAGGACTCGCTTTCCTTACCAAGCCCTGCTTCAGAACCCCATGGCCAGTGCCCAGCGTGGCCCTCTGGCTCTGCCCCACTCCCCAGCCTCAGCCAGACTTCACGCCCCAAGGGCACAGGCTGTCCCAGCACACATCACAGCTGTCATTTGACTTTATTACGTTACATATATATATTAAAAAAATTTTTTTAATGTTTATTTTTGAGAGAGAGAGAGACAGAGCACTAGTGGGGGAGGGACAGAGAGAGGAGAGGGAGACACAGAATCCAAAGCAGGGTCTAGGCTCTGAGCTGGGTCAGAGCAGGGTCCAGGCTCTGAGCTGTCAGCACATAGACCGACACAGGCCTCGAACTCAGTAACTGTGAGATCATGACCTGAGCTGAAGTCGGACGCTTAACTGATTGAGCCACCCAGGCGCCCCACGTTACATATATTTTTAATGTTTATTTTTGAGAGAGACAGAGTGCGAGCAGGGAATGGGCAGAGAGAGAGGGAGACACAGAATCCGAAGACGCAGGCTCCGGGCTCCGAGCTGTCAGCACAGAGCCTGAAGCAGGGCTCGAACCTACCAGCCGTGGATCATGACCTGAGCTGAAGTCAGATGCTTAACGGAAGGAGCCACCCAGGCACCCCAGCTTTCCTACATTAATGCCAATCTCCTTTCTACAACTGGAAGTTCTATGAGAGAAACGCCCATGTCTGTGACTTGCTCCCTAGTGCTGAGCACCAAGCCAGGCACATGATGGGTGCTCAATGAATTTCATAGAATTGACGAATGACTGAGGGTACAGAGAGGGGAGGGCAGGAAAGACTTTGCAAAGGGAGGGTGGACAGAGCGGGGTCCCGCCTGTCTCCTCACAATTCTCACTGGCGTCCAGTTGTGTTCTGGCACTGATGGGAATTGGGAAGCTAAGAGGGGCATGGTTCCCCGGCTCCACAGCAGCAACTCAGAGGCACAGACACCCCTGGCCAGAGCCACACGGTTTTCCCTTTTGCTAACACCTAACGCCTGAATAACAGCCCCTCTGCTTGAAACCAGGAGCCATTTCTCTTTCCTACCCCTCAGTCAGCAAGGAACCTGTTAGTCCGCCCATTTTCCATGTCGCAGGCAACTTGCCAAACAAGGGCGGTGGGTGGGCAAGGGAATATTAAGCGGAAGCCTACTCTGAGGCGGCTCTGGTCCAACAGGGATAAGAAAATGGGTCCGTCCTACCAGGGCGTCCCCAGGCCTTCACTGCAACAGGCACACTGTGACCGCTGTGGATCCCGGTGGGGAACAAGTCAAGTCCACAGATTCACCAAGCCTCCACCAAGACCCAGGCTCTCCTGCTGTCTCCAGGACAGCAGCCCCTAGCACTGTGCCCTCTAGCTCACAGCAGAAAGGCTGCACGCTTGAACCTCCACTGCCCAAACTGTCACCCGTAAAACAGGAATCACTTGGTGGTGATCCGGTTTGAGCCCCCGGATGTGAACACCTACCATGGGATGGGCATGTTGGGCACGGCCTGTGAACAGTAAGCAGGGCTGAGGGAGGTGGCAGCCACAGCTCCTGTGACTCCTTAGGGCAGTGCCTGGCACAAGGCAGGTGCTCAGGAACATTAGCTGCTACTGCCCAGGGCAACGGTGCCCAGAGAAGACTCTGGAGGCCAGGGGAAGAAGGGCCGACCACGTTGGCTACTGTCTCCTAGAGCTGGAGGGTTTGAGGTGGGGGCTCAGACCAGGACTGTTGCTTGCCTTGGGGATGTGTCCAAGTCTCCAGAGAGTTCTGGGGGGCAAGGCCTCTTGCAGTAGACCTTGGCCTGGGTGAGAGAAGCTTCTAGGCCACAGCAGAAGAAAGCCAGAGGGCTCCCACCCAATGCCCTTCTGGCTCAGCCTCTCCGGCAGCCCGCCTGGCTGCCACCTTGGTACCCTCTCAAAGCATGAGGGGGCTTCGCTGAAACAGTTGCTAGTATGTGTTGTGCTTCCTTTTCTTTCTTGACGTCCTTAGAGACCCTGCTTACCTTCCTGTGGCTACCCTCCCCACATGCTCCCCACAAGCTTCTTTAAAGGTCCCTGTGGCCAGTCACATTTCAGATGGCCCACAGAGGCCTCACCCTGCCTCGAGGGTTCTCACCCCACAAAGAGTGGGCCCTACAGGGGACAAGGTCGGTTCCAGCAAGACGTTCTCAGGGAAGGCAAGTCCTGGGGGAGAGAAGGACACCCCTCTTCGAGGGCACAATGCAGGGGCAGCTCTAGAACCCTCCATTCTAGAATCTGCCCCTGCTTTCCCAGAGTCTGCCCTGCCCCACACCAGTCCACGGCTGTGTTAGCCTCCCACCCCAAGCTCTCAGCCCTGGTCGCTGCCTGGCCTCTGCCCCGGTCCCATCAGCCTCCTTCAGCCCTGTCGCCCTAGCCCATCTGACACAAGTCAGGCCTCAGCCCTGCTCCCTGACCCCAACTCCCTGCAGTGAGCTGGACCGCCCTGCCCCCTTCCATGGAACCCTGCCCCCTGTGAAGGGCAGTGCCAGGCGAAAGCCGGGCCAGCGAAACTTCATGGAGCAGGTGCGTGAATGCAGGGACAATGGCTACCTGTTCTCTTCCAGGAAGACTGGCTCTGGGGCCTTCTCCAAAGTCTACCTGGCCTGTGCCACACGTGAGCGCATGCAGCACAACACCAAGCTGGCTTCCGACCTGCGGGGCAAGCACCATGCCATGGTGAGGTGGGCGGCAGGCTCGGCCACCGCCCTCTAGCCCAGCCCCAGTGGGCCCTGTCCTAACCCCGCTGAGGCACCTTCCTGCTGATCTGGCATCCTCTCTGGAGGCCAAGGCTCCTGCAAGCTGGCTACTCCCAGTTCCAGAACCCCTTGAACACATCAGTGCCAGGAAAGAAGGGGAAGGCCAACACTGCCCCCCAAGGATGCTGCTTCCCAACCTCACCCCAGCCAAGCTGGGCAATGTGCACAAAGGACATGGGGCCTGTCCGTGTCCCCCTCCAGGGGCTGTGGTCTACACACAACGGCCGCCCCCCACCCCTGCGGGTGGCGGTCAAGATCATCTCCGCTGCCGAGGCCCCTGTGGAGTTCTCCCAAAAGTTCCTGCCTCGTGAAACATCATCACTCAATGCTACCTATAGGCACCCGGATGTGGTAGGCAGAGGCCCCGACCCAGCCTGTGCCTGTCCTGCCCACCCCCCGCTGCCAGCCGTCACCATTCCAGCTGCCCAGGCCCACCCCCTCTTCCACCCAGGACCCCTCTGCTTGGGGCTCAGCCCCATCCCGAGACCCTGATCCGATGCACCGGACAGCCCCTCCTTGGGTGACAGCAGGTGGGTGGGGGCCCGGCAGGTGCAGCTGTACGAGACCTACCAGAACAGCCAGCGCTCCTCCTTGGTGCTGGAGCTGGCGGCCCGCGGCGACCTGTTGGAACACATCAACTGGGTGTCGGAACGCCGCCGCTGCGGCCGGGGGCCGGATGAGGAGGAGGCCCACAGACTGTTCTGGTAGCTCGTCGGCGCCGTGGCCCACCGCCGCAGCTCCGGCATTGTGCATCGGTGAGGGCGCTGCCGCCTCTGCAGCCTGCTCCCACACCCGCATCAAGAGGCCACCCAGCTGAGCCCAGGGCCAGCACCTCTTGCCCTTCCCCTTCCCCATGCAGGGATCTAAAGTGGGAGAATAACCTCCTAGATGACCGAGGCCTCCTAAAGCTGACCGGTGAGCCTTTGGCCCAGCCCCTACGCTCTTCCCTAGATTATCCTGACTCGTGACCCAGCTGGACCCTCAACCCTCCCAGGAGACCCAGCCCCACCCCTGCCCACAGCTGCACTTGCAGAAACCTACACACGTGAGGTCTGCCCCCCAGTCATCCCGCCCGAGCCCTCGCTCTCTCGCCCTCCTGCTCCTCACCTGGGGGACTGCCTGCCCTGTGCCCAACCCCCACCCCACCCCACCCCTTCCCCACTGCAAAGACTTTGGCTTCGCCAGCCATTGGGGCCTCAAGAGCTTGCTGCCGAGCACCTTCTGTGGCTCCGTGGCCTATACAGCCCCCGAGATCCTCATGAGCAAGTACAATGGGGAGCAGGCTGACCTGTGGAGCCTGTGAATGGCGCCCGCAGGCACCCCATCGTAGGCAGGACCCGCGGGAGGGCAGGGGAGGGGGCACGCCCTGAGGAGCCTGTGCCCCCAGGGGCATCATCCTTTATGCCATGGTGACCGGGAAGCCGCCCTTCAAGGAGCACCAGACCCACCGCATGCTGCACCTGATGCACCACGGCCCCACCTTCAGGCCGGGCGTGTCCCCAGGTGAGTGAGGACACCCTGTGTCCCTCCCGAGCCCCAGCTCGGGCCTGGAAAGTAGGCAAGAGAGACCTGGGTCCAGAGAAGGGTCATGCTGCGTGGAGGGAGTGGCATGGGAGACTGACCTGGCCACCCCACCCCCAACCCAGGCTGGTAAATGGACCACAGCAACCAGGGGACAGGGAAGCTGGGCTAGAGGACGCCCCGATTCAGACTCCTTGCTTGGAAAGGCAGCGGCCCCACCGAGCTCTGCACCAGCCCAGGGCACGCTGCCCTCCCTCTCCGTGCCCTGATCTCACGACGGTGAAGCACTGACTCCCTCCAGGCATTTGGGGGGTCCGAATGGGCTGACTCCTCTACGCTGCCAGCGTTGTTGATGGTGATGGACGCAGCTGGAGGGGGGAAGAGAGTGGGCAGTGGGAGGCCACAGCTGTGAGCCCTCACCCACAGAGTGCCGGGACCTGATCCGGGGCCTGCTGCAGCTTCGCCCGTGCGCGCGCCTGGGCCTGCAGCAGGTGGCCGCGCACTGCTGGATGCTGCCCGCCACGCACGCGCTCTCTGGCACCACGCTCAGGATGCCGCCAGGTAGGGTGGGGGCCCTGGGAGGGGGGTGTGGGCAGGTGGCTGGCCCCTCGGCGCCCCTCCTGATCCCCCACTGCTGTCGGTTGCAGAGAAGCCAGCCAAGCTTGAGCACTCGGAGCCCGGCAGAGACCCGGAGCCTCCGAGGCGGCGCCCCCCGGCGCTGCTTCTGGGCCTCCGCCTGGGCCGCAGAGGCCGACCCAAGAAGAGGTGCAGGCTCTGCCCAGCCGGGGCTCTGGAGCGCGAGGACAGCCAGCCTGGGGGTAGGCGCCTCCAGGTAGCTCCTATCGCGGAGCTCCACATCTGCCATCAGGACCACGCCTGGGCACCACCTGCCGTGGGTGGGCAGAGGCGAGGCCAGATAAAGCGTTTATTTTGTGGAGGGGATGTGGATGTCTCTGTGCAGGAAGGGCAACCAGCCGCGGGGAACCATCCCGGGAGAACACACCTCCGTGCCACGTTTTTAGTTGGGAGGAGAGGAAAACCACAGAGAGTACCAGAGGGGAAAGAGATACCTCACACCCGCGAAGCGACCGGCCTCAACGGGAGGAACCGGAGTGGACCCCCAGCTTTGCAGGCAGGGCCAGGACTGAGGACACACGGAGAGGGGGTGCTGGGAGCTCTCGCGGCAGCAGCACTCCAGTGCCAGAGTGCAAGGGGCCTGGGAAGGCCAGGACTCTGGAATCCCGTGCCAAAGATGGCCCTGGGAAAGGAGCGCGGCAGGGGGAGGGCCACACTGACCCTCTACCAGGCCTGGTGTGGCAGCTTTAGAACTGAGGGACCACGCAAGGAGCTGGGGAAGGACAAGGTTCTTGGGCCCATAGGAGGCTCCAAGGTGACAAAGGGCGGGAAGGGGAGAGGTCTGCTTAAGAGCGCGGATGCAGGCACATCACAGAGACACTCTGAGTGTGTCAGGCAAAGGGCTCGGACGCTCAAGGAAGCCTTCCAAGGACAGGGCCCGGTCAGAGCGGACAGCAAGTACGTCACAGCAGGGCGGGCCAGAGAAGACAGCAAGGGGCTGAGGGCCGTCCTGGGGCACAGGTCAAGCAGGAAGGTGGAGAGAATGATGGGAACACAGCGCCCAGCAAGCACTCCAAGGACAGGCCAGGGGGTCACAGCCCTAGGAGATCCCAGGACAGGCTGATGCTGAAAGTCTCACGAGGTCAGTCCTTTGAGGCTGGGTCTCAGGCAGGGCACGTTGAGGACCCCAGGATAGAGGACTTGGGGTGGGCCTGGCAGCAAAGGGCACTGCTTATACCTGGACGCCCACCGATGCACAGACCTCGACCGTGCCCTCCGGGGCTGCTCAGGCTTGCACTGTTTATCCGTCCCGCCCGTGAGCCATCTTCCTGGAGGCACCTGAGAGTCCTGGAGCACGGCCAGCTCTGACTGACCAGCGCTGCTCCAAGCGACCGGAGTTGCTGGAAGTCACGGGGCACAAAGAGGTCCCCTCGCCCTCCCGGGCGTATCGGACATTCACCCTAGAGACCTCTCGGCAGGGAACAACCTCTGAGCAAGGAGACCCAGAGGCCCGCAGCTGGCTGCGGGAAGGCCCGGAGCTCAGGTCGGTGTAGCCCCTCCAGCTCGTGGCTCCGGAGCCAGCTCCTCTGACCGCTCCCGGGTGTGCTGTTCCTGCTCCTGGCGGTCCAGCCGCCGCAGCTGCTGCTCCACGTCTTCAGGCACCTGCACCTCCAGCAGGTTTTCCATGCCCTGCTCTGGCTCATCCCCAATGAGCACCTGCCAGCAGGGGAGGCAGGTGAGCAGCTGGGGCTGGCGCACCGCGGACATCCCTCCCCCTTCCCCACCAACCCCGCACCCACCTGAATGAGTTTCTCGCAGGCCACGCGCACGTCGGGCTCCGGCTCCCAGCCGTGTAGCTCACGCAGGATCAGGTAGGCTCCCTGGTTCCTCACCTGCTGCCGACCAGGTGCTGTGGCTGTCAGCTGAGAGAGGGCAAAGGTTATCCAGATATGAGCGTGCCGCGCGTGTGTGGCATGTTAGGAGCCGGCATGAATACAGCAGGGCCTCTGCTCACCAGCATGATGGCTTCAATGAGCATCTTTCGGATGTCGGCATCAGGCTCCCTCTGCTTGTCTGGCGGCAGGTACTGCAGGTCAACAGGCAGCCCTAGGGGTGTGTGTGCGAGCCACTGGGTGCCAGCACCAGGCATCAGGCCAGACCCAACCTGGGTTAGCCCCATTCGTGCTCAGCAACTCCCTGGCTGGAAGGTTTCAGCCAGGTCAAGCCCTGGGCATCTTCTCCCCCCCGACCCCCCCCACCCCCCGCCACTGGCGTCCCCTTCTGCCCAGCGAACCCTGAGGCTCCACCCAAGCCACTCACGCTCCATCTCCTCCTCGGAGAAGTCCTCGGGGCCAGCCAGGGGCAGCAGCAAGAAAGGGAGAATGTCCACCTCGGGCCCAAGCAACCACTCGTGGTGTCCTGGGGGGGAGGGGGAACAGGAACGGGGGTCAGTCTAGCGGGGCCCCAAGGCCATCTCTCCGTCCCATCCCCCCAAACGCCACACCCCCACCCCTACTCACGATGCTCGAAGCAGCAGTTTCGGAGAGTCCCCACCACCCCTCCCCGGCGCACGGAGGAGTCTGGGAATTGGGTAAGGGGCAGCAGCCGCTGGACCACGCACCTGAAGGAAGGGATCGCTCAGTGCCATCCCTGTTCACCTCCACCCCCTCCCCGCGGGAGCCCCGGGCTTCACCTCTCGGGGTCCAGCAGGAAGGCGCGCGCCGCGGGACGCTGGCTGAGGTTGGAGAGCATTGGCCCCAGGTAATGCAGGGGCGCGCGGGCGTTGTAGCCAGGCGTGCACAGCGCGCGCACCAGCCGCCCCAGGCCTGACTCCCCCGGCTCCGCGACCTCCAGCGCTGCCATCAGCGCGGCACACGGCGCCGGCTCTCGGCTGAGGTTGGCCAGCACGGCGGCCGCCTCCTCGGCCCAGGGCCACTGTGGATCCAACGCGCGGCCCAGCAGGCGGGCAGGCAGCTCGGGCTCGGCCTGCAGCAACGGCTCGTGCAGGCCGGGCTCGGCAGCGAGGTTGACGAGGGCGCGAGCGGCGTCGCGCGCCGGGGCCGGGGCCGGGGCCGCGGCCAGCTCG